AAATAATTAAAATAACAAAACACTAATAACTTTAGGAGGTATTAAATAGTGCAAAAATTAGGTGTTCACACACTTCGATCGGTATCAAGACACAGCTAAAATAAGAACCGGAAGAGAAAAATAATGTATTGCTTTCAAATGCGTGTTACAATGTATTTTACAAGTAATCAGACCCCCTATATATAGTAGGGGAGTCCTACTTTAGGTACAATTTTATAAAAGGTAAAAATCTCTTGATTTGTTGATTTGCCAGTTTTTTATTGATACGTACCGAGATTCCCGCTGTAATATCTCACCGGTCACGGATATTTCGGTCTTATGTTATTTCGGTCTTCCGTTGGTTACGCTGACAATGTTTCCTCGAGCTCGTTCGGGGTCAGGTTCGATTCCGCGATCACGGACTCAATGTTCTCGAGGACAGACATTCTGATCTCTGGTTCTGGCCTGGTGGGACTTGGGGTCGATCTTCAGTCCCTCATATTTCGAGTCCGATCTACCATGTCGTAGACTAGCCCAATTTCTACCGTATACAATTGCGGTGAACCTGCTTGAATAAAATGATAGGTCTACCACCGTATACTACGTATCCGTGCACATCTCCTTACATAATAGCAATTATTGTTTCTAAAGGTATAATTTTGCCTCATGTCCTTTTTTTGAAATCGAAAATTGTTCCAATTTCCTAATGAGATATGCAACTGAGCCCCAAAATAGAGTTTCAATTCAAAGGTTTACTCTCTCTTGATCGTCATTAAAGAAATTGACATCCGAGGCTTCCTCTTTCCCTTTAAATCTAGTGAAATCCTAAAGTTTTAAATGTACACCTCCTTAACCACATATTCCTAATGAGAACAAATAATAAGACGTTGAAAGAAACCCTTTAAAATTTGTCAAAATTACACGAAAAAGTATTATAAATTATAATTGTTAATAATCCAATATATAATTATGGTCAAAGAAGAACCTCTTTGACTCTCCAATTAATTTATGTGGTGCCACATAAAATGTAACATAGATTGTATTTAAAATATTATTATTTTTTCTTTGAGACAACGTAAGACAAACATGTAACTTAGAATTTCTGTAACGTGCTCGAATATGATTCTGAAATAGTATTATGAAAGCGTCGTCACTTTGGCATGACAAAACTACGTTGAGTCTTGGACAATTACACGAAGAAAAATTGAATGGTAATTCAATAAAGCTTTATATTTCTTAATTTTCTTATTTCTTATTTATGATTCATCCTAAACTTGTACTTTCGTAACTAAGTACCACGTTTATGGTCAATAATGAACTAAGAAATTAACATTCAACTGTATTATGATAGTCATTGTTGCGGCCAAACGCACACACAAGTATACGCGGTCGTGAAGTAATAAAGTGACTAAAAGTCGGATGTCGAACCCACGAGGACTTGTGATTAACTATTAACTAAATTAGACTATCCTAACTATCTGAACAAGAATTAAACCTAGCGGTATTTGATTCTAAACTAATTAAAATAAAGAAAAATAAATAGTAAACTCTCAACAAAAGAATAGTAGATTTTTATGTTATTAACGCGATGAAAACGATCTAGGGTTATGGGCTATCTAACAATCATATTGTATTCTTCAATTGAATTAACTAATTAATTTATATGGTTTATTGGTTGACAGGGTTAATATTGCTTATAAGAATCTGTCGAGTTCCTATTCGCCTATTCAAGCTAACCTAACACCTATATGTCTAATCAACAAGAACGCACTTATAATTCTTGTACATCAACCAAGCAAGGCAATTATATATATGTCTATCCTAACCGCAAATCCGTTCTCCGATGCCCAGGTTCAAGAACTTACTCTACTCAATCCTATAAGCAATCTAGAATTCCCACTTTCGAGTTCAATTCTAGATTCGTAGATTGTATTCAATTGGTGATCAAGCAATTAAATAATTAAGCGCAGGATTGAATAAATAAACTAATATGATAAATCAATAAACCAAAATCAATATTTGAATAACAATAGTCATGAAAGAACCACAACCCTAGAACGTGAAGTTTAACTCCACAGAGACATGGTAGCAAAACAACAAATCATACAAAGAAACATAAAAATTACTAAGTTTGGTAAAAGAAAGATGAAACCTTTCCTCCATGGCGGCTCTATGCTCCCCCTAGGTCGAATTCCCTTCAAAAAGTGTGTTAGATGACCTAAAAGGAGCGTTTTTGGCCTATATATTGCGTACATAAGTCGTGGGCCAAAGTTCACCTTCTCCTAATCCGAATCAGCTTCCACTTCTCAGCTTCGCATGCTAGGGTCATCCACCCTTTGTTCCTTCATCTTTGATGTTCCCTGGTGCGGATGCTATGGTCTGACTTCACTGCTAAGAGTGCACCAACTAGCCTTCTTTTCAAAGTTAGATGCGACGCATCCACCCTCTTCTCCTCTACTTTGAGCATCTTTAAACATCCTAAATCATCACACATAACTTAATTAGTCATAAAACTAATAATTAATACATATTGGGCATTTTTAACACCAAATAGTACCAAAAAGCGATTAAAACATGGGTAAAGTAACATCAAAACATATAGAAATATGTCCAACATCACCACCCCACATTTAAACCTTTGTTCGTCGTCGAGCAACCATCACTATAGTAGACGAAATAAAATTAAGCTCTTATCATTTAAATCATAGTACACCAATGACCATGGTTGATAGTAACAATTAAGCTCTAGCATATGCATTCACATACACTTTTAATGCCAAACTTCAAAAATATTCAAACAAAGACAACATACTCATAACAATCCTAGCCTCAAAAACCGACTCAATGTCATAATGCACTCATGGCTTGAACACTCAACATCGTAGAGAAGTCTAATAATGTAACCATCCCTCATGAAGCCATGTGCCCTCACAACAAAAGCAAAGAGAGTAAGTTGAATCCGCACACCGACCCAAATATGGTTTAAGGACTCACTTGTATATAAAAGAAATCTCTCCTCTGACAAAGAAGTCACATGCATGCAATCGGTACCCTAGGCTTGCCCTTAATGTAAATCTCTACTAATGTAGGATCACTCGATCTAAAATCAATTATGACTTTCCATGGTTGTAATGTAGGCTAAGGGACAAGTAGGATATATTTAGAAATAATGGTTCATGTTAGCACAATGGACAGATTGTAGAATATCTACATTAATATATTCTCGATATGGTAAATATATGGGATATTATTAGGGATATTCTACATTTAGTGTAGAATATTGTGTAGCATTAGTTGTAGAATATATGAAGAATATTTTGTAGGATTTACACTTAAGAAAGGATATTTTCTCTTGTGTATAAATACCAATGTATGTAATGTATTTGAATCAAGTAATTGAGATAGTCATTCTTCAATTTCTCTCATGCTTTCTCTATTCTTGACATGGTATTAGAGCCTTCTTTTCATAGTTTTGATTCTTAGTGTCTTTCATCTGTAGTTCTTTAAAAAAAAATTGAAAGCTTATTTCTCTTGGTTCTCTTGATTTTTTGTCAACAAGCAGTCCTAAGCATCTAGGGCTTTTGGTCTTGGTCTTGATCTTGATCTTGGTTATTCTAGATATTCTTTTCGTATCATTGTGTTTTTGATTTTCTCTATTCAAAAATATGACTTCACATCAGTTTGAGTCCTTCAGTGTACGTTTCACTAGGAAAAACTTTTCTGCTTGGGAATTTCAGTTTCAATTATTTGTTACGGAAAAAGAATTATGGGGCCATATAGATGGAAATGATCCTGCTCTTACTGATCTTACAAAGTTAGGTCAGTGGAAAGTCAAAGATTCTCGGGTGATGACATGGATTTTAGGGTCAATTGACCCTCTTATTGTTCTTAATCTCAGGCCGTACAAGGCTGCAAAGGCCATGTGGGATTATTTACAAAAGGTTTACAACCAAGACAATAGAGTAAGACGATTTCAGCTAGAGCACGAAATCGCTACTTACTCTCAAGGAGGTCTCCCTGTTCAGGATTATTTTTCTGGATTTCAGAACTTATGGGCTGAATTTACAGATATTGTTTATGCTAAAATACCTGCTGAATATCTATCTATAATTCAAGCAGTTCATGAGCAAAGCAAGTGAGACCAATTTTTGATAAGATTGCGATCTGATTTTGAGAGTGTTCGCTCTAACTTAATGAATCGTGACTCGCCTCCCTCCTTGGATGTATGTTGTAGGGAATTACTTCGTGAAGAGAAGCGCAAGAAAGTGTTCATACTGTTGCATTTGCTACTCAAGGAAAAAGAAAGAGCATGGATATGAGCACCACGCAATGCTACAGTTGCAAAGAATATGGTCATTTTGCTAGCAATTGTAGTAAGAAGTTCTGCAATTATTGTAAGCAGCACATGCATATTATCAAAGAGTGTCCCACACATCTTCAAAATCATAAGATCAATGCTTTTCAAGCTGGGATAAATGGTTCGACTGATGATCACTCATCTTCAACTGGAACTAGCAACCAGTTTGCTACTCCAATAGCTAGACAAGTTCTTACTCTTGAAATGGTACAACAAATGATTGTGTCAGCCTTTTTAGCTTTGGGGCTACAAGGTAACGATATTATCTACATTTTGGCTTGTTGATTATGGCGCTTCCAATCATATGACAAACTAAACTAGCATGCTAAAAAATGTACGTGACTATCATGGTCCATCACAAATTCAGATTGTGAATGGTAGTAATTTACCCATTACCAAGGTTGGGGATATTACTCTAACTTTCAAGAATGTTTTTGTATTACAAAAGCTCTCAACTAGTCTTATTTCAGTTGGCTAATTGGTAGATAATAATTGTGATGTGAATATTTCTCGTAATGGTTGCCTTATGCAGGATCAGGTGTCGGGGACAATAATCGCGAAGGGGCCTAAAGTTTGAAGATTGTTTCCTATCCATTCCTCGTGTCCTGTCTTTTGCTTGTACTTCTACAGCTAATAAAATGGAGGTTTGGCATAAGCGTCTAGGACATCCAAAATCTATAGTGTTGTCTCATTTATCAAATTCTGGTTTATTGGAAAATAAAAATCAATTTTTAGCTGTTTCATTTGATTGTTCTACTTGTAAATTAGGCAAAAGTAAAACTCTCCCTTTTCCTAATTTTGGTAGTCGTGCTAAAAAGTGTTTTGATGTCATTCACAATGATGTTTGGGGCATTTCGCCAATTATTTCTTATGCTCATTTCAAGTACTTTGTGACATTCAGATGATTATAGTCGGTTTACATGGGTGTATTTTCTTTGTTCCAAATCTGAGGTATTTTTCATATTCAAGACATTTTTGGCTTACATTGAGACTCAATTTTCTACATGCATCAAAATATTAAGATCTGATTCCGGTGGAGAATATATGTCTCATGAATTCAATAATTTCTTGTTTGATACAGGAATCGTCTCACAACGCTCTTTCCCATAGACACTACAACAAAATGGGGTTGCTGAGCGTAAAATTTTGTCATCTTTTAGATGTAACTCGTACTTTATTGATTGAGTCCTCTGTCCCATCAAAATACTGAGTGGAAGCTTTGTCTACTGCTGTCTATTTAATTAATAGACTGTCATCTAAAGTGTTAAATCTTGAGTCTCCATATTATCGTCTTTATCACCATAATCCTAGCTATCATAATTTTCATACAATTGGTTGTGTTTGTTTTGTGCATCTGCCTCCGTTTCAACGCAATAAACTTTCTGCTCAATCTACTAAATGTGCATTTATGGGTTATAGTACTTTGCAGAAAGGGTTTATTTGCATTATCCAAGTTCCGACAAATTTCGTATTTCTAGAAATGTTGTTTTCTTTGAGAATCAATACTTCTTTCCCACTCATGTTGAGCCATCTTTTGTTTCTCCTCTTCTTCCTACTTTTGAGGATTTTTCATCTTTTTCTAAGCGGTTCAAACCCGAATATGTGTATGAACGACGTCTTCCAACTTTACTCCATTAAGAAATTGATATGCCACCTGAGACTGCTCCACAACCAGAATATGAAATATCTTCAAGGCCTGCTCCTCTTGAGCCTACTCGGCGATCTACCAGAGAACGAAATACTCCTAATTGGTATGGTTTTCCTCTACTTTATCCACTATTTCTGTTCTAACTTGTTATTCACAAGTTTGTAAGCATGAATGTTGGCAGAAAGCAATAGAGGAAGAACTTTTGGCTCTTAAAGAAAATAACACATGTGACATTGTTTCATGTCCTTCAAATCTCCGCCCAATTGGATGTAAATGGGTTTATTCAATTAAACTTCATTTTGATAGAACTCTAGATCGGTACAAAGCTCGCTTGGTTGTTCTTGGTAACAAATAGGAGTATGGTGTGGATTATGAGGAGACTTTTGTACCAGTAGCAAAAATGACTACAATGTGAACTATTATTGCCATTGCTGCCTCACAGAATTGGCATCTTCATCAAATGGATGTAAAAAATACTTTTCTCCATGGTGATCTGAAAGAAGATATTTATATGAAACCCCCACCTAGTTTGTTTTCATCACCTACATCAGATGTTTGCAAGTTGAAGCGATCTTTGTATGGATTAAAACAAGCTCCCAGAGCTTGGTTTGACAAGTTTCGATCTACTTTGCTTCACTTCTCTTTTGAACAAAGTAAATATGACTCATCTTTGTTTCTTCGAAAAACATCTACAGGTTGTGTTCTTCTTCTAGTATATGTGGATGACATCATTATAACATGAACTGATTTTTTATTAATCACTAGCCTCCAACAGCAGCTTAAGGATTCTTTTTACATGAAAGATCTTGGTACTCTAACATATTTCTTGGGGTTGGAAGTTCATTATAATTCTTTAGGTATGTTCTTAAACCAGCACAAATATACTCAGGATTTGATTGCTTTGGCTGGTCTTCAAGAATCTTCATGTGTTGATACTCCATTGGAATTGAATGTAAAGTATCGTTGCGATGAAGGGAATTTTCTTCCTGACCCAACTTTGTTTCGACAATTAGTTGGGAGCCTAAATTATCTTACTATTACTCGGCCTGATATCTCTTTTGCAGTTCAACAAGTTAGTCAATTCATGCAGACTTCCTGTCATCTGCATTTGGTGGCAGTTCGTCGCATCATTCGATATCTCTCAGGAACATCAACTCATGGATAATTCTTTCCTAGTGGTTCTCCTATTCAGCTTAATGCATTTGGTGATTCTCATTGGGATGGATATCCTGATACTCGTCGCTCCATCACGGGATGGCGCATGTTTCTCGGAGATTCTTTGATATCTTGGAAGAGCAAGAAGCAAGATCGTATTTCAAAATCTTCAACGGAGTCTGAATATCGAGCAATGTCGACTGCTTGCTTCGAAATTATTTGGCTTCGTGGTTTACTGGCAGAAATTGGATTTCCTCAATCTAATCCTACTCCTCTCCATGCTGATAACACAAGTGCCATTCAAATTGCAACCAATCCAGTTTATCACTAAAGAACCAAGCATATTGAAGTGGATTGTCATTCTGTAAGAAAAGCTGTAGATAGAAGAGTTATTACTCTTCCACATGTATCCAGTGATCTTCAAATAGCTGAAATGTTTACAAAATCAATGGCACGACAGCGTCATCAGTTTCTAGTAGGAAAATTGATGCTTTTCGATCCACCAACATCAATTTAAGGGGGGATGTTAGAATAATAGACAGCTTGTAGAATATCACATTAATATATTCTCGATATGGTGAATATATGGGATATTATTAGGGATATTCTACATTTAGTGTAGAATATTGTGTAGCAGTAGTTGTAGAATATATGAAGAATATTTTGTAGGATTTGCTTGTATATAAATACCAATGTATCTTATGTATTTGAATCAAGTAATTGAGATACTTCAATTTCTCTCATGGTTTCTCTGTTCTTGACAATTCACCCTCCTAAGCACTTTAACACCTCACCAAATAACTTAAGCGCAAATTCTTCAATCCACTTCAATTTCACAAACAATATTACCCCCAAAAATATTCCCTTTTTCTTTGAGCACTATTGTCATTTACACTCCACTAGGAAAAAAAGATATTTATTCATCTACATTTTTTTTCTTTATTTTTTAGATTTTTTTTCTTTTCAAACTTTCGGAAGTAGTGTCATTTACACTCCACTAGGAAAAAAGAATTTATTCGTCTACATTTTTTTCTCTTTTTTCTTAGATTTTTTGTCTTTCCAAACTTTCGGTAGTGGTGTATTATTTTACAAAACAAGTGCACCCTTCTTTCTTTCATTGGTTCCACTTAAAAGTCACCTCACATTCCCTCCTTACTTCTTCAAACGCTCATTTCACAATTAAAGTGTTTTAAGAGGTAAAAGGATCAAAAATTTCAATTAAGAACAAAAAGGTATAGACTCGTAATGTGGGTGACAAATAAAAGTCTATAGGCTCAAAAGGGTTAACTAAGGATAAATTTTATTTATGCTAAGCAATAAACTCAAAAAGATCAAAGAAAGCCTAAAATTATTTTTCAAATCGAGCATCACCTAAAATTTCGTTTCAATTTACATACCGGACAAGTTCTAGACACAAGTACAATACATGGACTACACAAAAATCTCACCACACATGGCACATGACTCACTAAGGACGGCCCCATTCCGACTCTCAACAAATGCAAGTATTCACGGAGCTATGAGATATTAAGCATTAAGCACAAAATGAACACAAGTCAAGAAAACGAGACATCGCCGTCACAAAACAAGCTATCCAAGTAAGCAAGGCATCATCAATAATTTCAAATCATAGGGAAGATACTACACATGCCAAAGTATAAATATGCTACTATCAAAAAAAGTCAAGGGCGCCTAGGTTCATCATTCTTCCTCCTTTTATTCCCTAAATTCCTAATCTACTCTAAAAGGAAAAACTACCCGGTTCAAACTACATCCCATGGAAAAGAACCGAGGCACAAAGAAAAATCATGGGGGATTATTACTACAAAAAAAAAACTAAAAGACATGTTTTTGGATTTTTCTATTTTTTAATTTTTTTTTAGACTTTAATCCCTCAAGAAAACTGTCTAGGAGATCCATTGTCAGGAAAAGTCCAAATTTTATTTTTTTTTGATTTTTCATATTTAAGAAAAAATATTAAGTTATTAAAACTACTACTAATTATCTAGAGAAATTATTTCACCCCACACTTAAAGGAGTGCAGTATCCCCAATGCACAAATAAAATAAAACAATAATGAGGATGGACAAAAACTCCCTGAAAGGCCAAAAGCCGAAGTAATAGCGGCTCACGGGTACTCAGACTTCCCCCAGGCATGGTCCTTTGTGCGGGCACCCCACACATAGTTCTCACCATCTAGCTCGCTTTTTGCACTCTTCCAATGGCTTTGTTTTCTATGCTAGTAATCCTACAAAATCAAAACAAACACTACAAAAATAATATAATAAAAATAAAAAGAAAAGAAAATAGTAAAAATGGGTTGCCTCCCAACAAGCGCCTAATTTAAAGTCGCAACACGACTTGAACAACTTTTTGGATCCCCCTTGAACTTATGAATTGAGCCTCTAATTTGGCTTCAAGCTTTCTACTATGCTCTCGGAGTGGTGTGACTACAAAGATAACCAGGCCAAGTAATAAATTTTTCACTCTGCACTTCTCGGCCTTTAAATAAGGAATGTAATTTTTGCTTTTTGGCACAACAAAGTCAAGAATATAGACACTCTCATACACACCCTTTGACTCCCTCATAGGCTCAGATGGCTCGATTACTATCTTACTATCTAATCACAATGTGGAAAGATGATTGGAATGAGGTCTAATGCACCCTAACTCATGAATTTTACTACTATTTGCATCCCCATATTTACTCACACTCAAGTCTCCCAACGTAATGTTATTTACTCCCTCATATGACTCTAGAGCACTCTTCTCAATATTGGCATCCCCAAAAAAAATATAGTCTAGTGATTGGTATTCTCGTTTAGCTCCTCAATTTGGTCTAGAAGATTTTTTTCAGCTTCACACAACTCATTATTAAATTGTTGGGCGTTACACGCATCAACCTTTGCACTCAAATCTGCATATAAGTTATGTACAGCCAAGCCAAAATTATCAATTTTATGTGCAAGCTGATCTCTCTCCTTAGATTAATCATACACCAATGTTGTTAGTAAACAACGTCGTTCCGCAGATTTCCCTAATCGAGAATATACATCCCAATATCAACCCTTACTCCCATATTCAAATTCAGATCTCCAAGAGGTCAGGCCATAGCAAGCCCAAAAATACGGGCCATAAAAGTCTTCTGTCAACCAAGTGTCTTCTTCAATAACCTTACCTCCGAATATTTCATCCCTATATGTCATGCTGAGAACTAGAAACATACTAAGAAAAAAATCAAATAGTTATAAAAATAAAATATATACAAAAAGAGAAGGAAAAAAAACTTGTAAAGATAAAAGTAAAAGTCTAATCTAGAAAAATAGTTAATTTCTAAGTCCCTGGCAACGGTGCCAAAAACTTGTTGCGGCTAAACGCACACACAAGTATATCCGGTCGTCAAGTAATAAAGTGACTAAAAGTCGGATGTTGAACCCACGAGGACTTGTGATTAACTATTAATTAAATTAGGCTATCTTAACTATCTGAACAAGAATTAAACCTAGAGGTATTTGATTCTAAACTAATTAAAATAAAGAAAAGCAAATAGTAAACTCTGAAAAAAAGAATAGGAGATTTTTATGTTATCAATGCGATGAAAACGATCTAGGGTTATGAGTTATCTAACAATCATATTGTATTCTTCAGTTGAATTGTCTAATTAATTTATCTGGTTTATTGGTTGACAGAGTTAATATTGCTTATAAGAATCTGTCAAGTTTTTTCGCCTATTCAAGCTAACCTAATGCATATATGTCTATGGAGTTAGAATCAACAACAACACATTTATAATTCCTGTACATCAACCAAGCAAAGCAATTAGGTATATATCTATCCTAATTATGAATTCGTTCCCCAATGCCCAGGTTCAAGAACTTACTCTACTCAATCCTATAAGCAATCTAGAATTCTCACTTTCGAGTTCAATTCTAGATACGTAGAAGTATTCAATTGGTGATCAAGCAATTAAATAATTAAGCGCAGGATTGAATAAATAAACTAATATGATAAATCAAGAAACCAAAATCAATATTCGAATAACAATAGTCATGAATGAACCACAACCCTAGAAAGTGAAGTTTAACTCCACATAGACATGGTGTAGCAAAACAATAATCATACAAAGAAACATAACAATTAATAAGTTTGGTGAATGAAAGATGAAACCCAGCCTCCACGACGGCTCTATGCTCCCCTTAGGTCAAATTCCCTTCAAAAGTGTGTTAGATGACCTAAAAGAGGCGTTTTTGGCCTATAAGTTCTCCTTCTCCTAATCCGAATCAGCTTGCACCTCAGTTTCCACTTCTCAGCTTCGCATGCTAGGGTAGATGATTCGCATCCACCCTTTGTTCCTTCATGTCTGATGTGCCCAGGTGCGGATGCTAAGGCGGATGCTATATATGGTCCGACATCACTACTAAGAGTGCACCAACTAGCCTTCTTTCCAAAGTTAGATGCGATGCATCCATCCTCTTCTCCTCTACTTGGAGCATCTTTTCTTCATATTTTTGCACTCCAAACATCCTAAATCATCACACATAATTTAATTAGTCATAAAACTAATATTTAACACATATTGGGCATTTTTAACAACAAATAGCACCAAAAAGCGATTAAAACATAGGTAAAATAACATCAAAACATATAGAAATGTGCCCAACATAAGTCACCTTGATATTCAAAACTCATAAAGCTATGCTTTTATTAATAACGATGAGTCTCAATTAGGTGCATTCCTTTAATTTGTGTATGACGGTGACGATTTGTACATGGTTATGGACAACTTTGCCTATGACTATGAAAGGCAGTCCGGTACATAAAGTATCTCGTATTCATGTAGGATCCGGAGAAAGGTCGATCCCAAGGGGGTGTGATAAGACAGTCTACTCTAATGCAAGTATCAGTGGCTGATTCCACAACTCGAACCTGTGACCTATAGGGCATAGGAAACAACTTAACCGTTGTTAGAAGGTTCCCATTTCAACTTTGTCTATGACTATATATGTCGAAAATGACGATAACTTAGCAGACGACAATCAAGGTTTCCAATCTCCAAAAGTAAGTAATTTTGTATTTGATCAGCATGGCCAGCCAACATATAAAGACATGAATGTCGTATCGTTAATCTCAAATTCTCAATGTTGGCCCTCTATGTATTTGTAGTTACTGGCTTTCTGAAAAAATATACTTCTATTGTCGATATAAGTGTTTGATTGGGCATGAAGTTTTAAAAAATATCGAATAAAGACTTTTGAAATACTTGGTTAAAACTAGGGGTGGCAAATGGTTAAAAAAAATAGGTAACCACCCATATTATCCACTAAAAATGGA